GGCTCGGATGCGGGGCCCGTATACGTGCGGGAGGGCGGGAGGCTGCACTTGGTGAGCGGGGTGAAAGCAGCGCCTTTCAGGCTGTTTTCCCGGGGATTCTCGGTGGAGCTTTGTATGAACGGGGAGGACGACAGGGCCAGGAGGCAGAGGACCGAGCACTTCATCTTCACGTACACCAGGGAGGGGAACCTCCGGTACTCGGCCAAGTCCCTGTTCAGCCTCGCGCTGGGCTACATTTCGGACAACGTCGACCGCGTTGACTCGCTGATTGGCTTCCCGGAGCAGATTGCTGAAAAGCTCTTCTCGGCTGCAGAAGCGAGGCAGAAGTTCACAGAACCAGTCACGGGGCTGAGGGCCCTGCAGAAGTTCACCGAGGCCTATGGCAGTTTGGTGCTGCGTTCCTTATGCTTGCGGAACGGGTGAGTGTCTGTGTAACACGTACTGCCTGCTGGTGCCTTCTGCTGGCACACTCAGTGCCTTACGTTATCTTCCCTCAAAAATAATAATAATAAAAAATCTCTTAGGCCTTACGATGCAACCCAAGTTTAGTGAAATGACCTGAGCCTTGTCTCACTCTTCTGCTTGCTTCTTTTTGTCCCATTCCCCTTAAGCTGAGAGGAAACGGCCTCAGGTTGTGCCAGGGGAGGTTTAGCTCAGCTATTGGGACAGATTTCTTCACCAAAGGGTTGCCAAGCACTGGAACAGACTGCCTAGAGAAGTGGAGGAGTCACCATCCCTGGAGGGATTTTCAGAGCCATGTAGATGTGGTGCTGAGGGACATGGTTTAGTGGTGGCCTTGGCAGGGCTGGGTTAACAGTTGGACTTGATAACCTTGAAGGTCTTTTCCAAAGTGTTTCTGTTATTCTGTGATTCCTTTCCTACAAGTGCCTGGTTTCCTTCTGAGGAAATACAGGTAATACACTTCATCTGTGTTAAAAAAAAGGGATTTTATGTGAAGGATTAAACCTGCAACTATTTTTTAACAATAATAATCAGCACTTCCATAGCAATCTGTGTGCTTAATGCCTTCTCCTGGATTTCTTGGAGGTTTTTGTAATTGCTGTTCATAACCATTTCAGCATACTTAGCTGACTGTACAGATAAAATACTGCCCTGCCAACTGCCTGAGTTTATTTACTATAAGCTTGCTATTCTGGTTCATTTTGGGGGCTCAAAAGAAGATACAGTCTTATAGGCAACTTACAGGCTTTGAAGTCAGGCAGGTTTTACCTTAGTTTATTGTTGTTCCTATCCCCACATTGAATGTGCTTTAACAAGGTTCTGGTGAGAGTCCAGCACCATTTTTTCCACCTTTTCAATGTCCACATTGTCTTTCACTAGAACAGTCTTACCAAGCTTAAAACTGGATTCTGTTTTTAAAGTCTTGCTCCTACTGAGTCTTCCTCAGTAATATAAGCAGTCTGTCCTCTGTCTGTACTTTTGGAAAAGGGATGGTTTATCCAGCTTACAATCGAAGTACAGGCATATTCATCTGAAGTGCCAGAGGTGCTTTGAGCACAGTTGGAATGTTTGAGCAGGGGTCAATTATCCTTTGTTTTATCTTTTAAACCTAATCCCTTTTTGTCTTTAGTACAGGTACATTTTATGGGCTTAATTCAGACGTGTTACCTCTGGTATCTTTTGCTGTTACAGAAAGCTGAGTTAAGTTATAGGGTCTTTGAAATCCAGGAAATAAAATATGAAAGCATTTTCCGATGAATCGTATTTCTAACAGAGCCCACTCTTATCTTCACAGCCCCCCTGAACTAGTAGTATCTCTAAAGAATTGGCCTGCACTCTCACTTCCTGCCTGCTGCACAGCTGAACTGCATGGCAAAGGGATTTGGTGGGCTAGTCTGACAGGTCTCCTTGCAGTGGGAGGATATCCAGATCCCCTATTTGCAAACAAGACACCAAAGAGGTGTTCCTGGAGGGGTCAAACTAGTAAGCACCCCTCATTTCAGCAGTGAAGATGCTGACCTCAGAGTTCATCTTACCATGGGGACAGTAAGAAATAGATGCAGGGGAGATTGATGAGGCAGTGACTGCTACGTGCTTCTTACTGCATATTACTGCATGCCATTCTTTAGTGGTTTGTTCCCAGCTCTGAACCTCCTACTGAATAATTCCAGCACAGATGTTTGCATGGCTGTGGAGTGAATCAGACCAGGGAACCAACGCAGCTGAAAAAGGAACTCAGAGGAACTACTGCCTGGGGTGTAGTCACAGCTCTAGCTGGAGGCCTGCAGGTGTCCTGTAGGACTTTTGGCTAGTGGAGTATCTTACTTACTTACCCAGAAAGGAAAACTTTGCCATTTGACAAGCTACCCTGATACATTTGAAGTAGATCTTAAACCTGGATGAGCATCAGTTTGTCCACACACTTCCTAGATGTTGAGGAAGAGCAGTTTGTGAAGTTTCTTTGCGTTATTCTGAAATAATACAATAATAATCTGCAAAGAAGTCCCTAATTGCAATGTTTGCAAGATAAAGTCTTGTTTGTTAGTCCAATATTTTGAGTCAAAGCAAACCCATGACATTTGTTGAAGGAGAAGACTGGGAACTCAGGTGTGTTGTGCAGACTGCACATAAAAAGGTGGTTAGGACTGCTGGCTAATTTTTGTCAATTTTCACATAGGTACTTAAAAGAAATTTCTGCCTTAGGGCTTTTGACACTTGAGATCATAGGACTCTTAATGTTGTTTTTTTTTCCCCCCTCTTTGCAGATACCTGGTTATCTCTGAAAAGCTGGAAGAAATTAAGTCTTTCCGGGAGCTGACATGTTTGGATCTCTCCTGTTGTAAACTTGGAGATGAACACGAGCTGCTGGAACACCTCACCAAAGAGGCTCTGTCTAGGTACCAATTTCTTGACACGTAGCTAAAAATGACACTTCTCTTTTCCTGTCACTAAGCATTTCAAGGAATCAGGCTGTGGCTTTAAAGGAAACTTCCACTTGCGTAAGTTTGAAGATTTTGGTTGTTCCTAAACCCATTCTTGAGGCAAACAAATTCAGAATATACTGTACCAAAGCAGGTGATTTTAAAGCACATACTGAATTGTGGAAGGTCCAGCAAATGTCCAAGATAATGTACTGTCTCATGTTTTTTAAATCACCTGTTTGCAATTTCCACTTGCCAGGTAAAAAACTGCAACATTTGGAACAGTTTTACGCTTTTATTTCCTTTTTTAATAAGGAACTTTATCAGCCTTTTTTTTTTTAACCTACCAGCATTCCAGGTGAAGATTTCTGCAAGCAGCAAGTTGAATATTTACCTAATTAACATTTTGTTAAATTAATTTTGTAATTTTGTTTGGCACTTAAGATTAAAAAGTAGAACATCAATAAGTAGGAAATCAATACCCCATTGCTTGCATAACATCATTGTCAGATCTCTTACCAAATCTGTCCTCTCCTCCCTTTTGCCAAGCATTTTTCTCTTTTCAGTTTGGAGTGGAGCCAAGTTTGGCAGCCTTGGTTTAAATTATTTCAGCGTCTAAACAAACTTACTGTCTCTGATAGCAAATGCTTGTGCTCCAGAATCATTTTGCCACTGGAGCTCTGGGAATAGCTGGTCAAGGAAGTGCTTCTGCTGAGCTAGCAGGAGCAACGTCAAGTTATTTGGTAGTCCTGCTAACCCTGCTGCTTTTTACTGGACTGGAGGGTTGACACAGGAAGAAGCCAGACTCCTGACATTGAGCTTTAGGACATTTTGCAAAGCTCGAGTATAAACTATGCTTTTTTATCTCTTCTCCCAGTGTAAAACAGCTTCTCCTGAAGGACAACTCCTTATCAGATGCAGGCCTGCGCAGGATGACGGCGCCCGTACGAGTGCTGAAAAAGGGCCTTGAGAATCTCTTGGTCTTAGACTTGTCTTGTAAGTCCTTCATAGGTTCATACTACAAGCAACCTGTGTCCTTTCTGATAAAGAACTAATTCTTCTTAATATTGAAGGAATACAATTCATTTCATTATTCCTGTGAGTCAGCTACTCATCCCCAAATTCCATCAGCAACTTCTGAGAAGGCACAAGTTATACCTGTAGTCTCAGCCACCTGCTACTGAGGTTTCTTTCATAGTTTCAGAATTGGTATTGTAAAAACATGTATTTTGATCATGAGGTGGAAAAAGGCAGTTTTAACTCACTTCCAAAACATAAAGCATACTATAAAGGAAAAAAAAAGCCCAAACCCCCTTGTTCCAATATTAGCTTTTGGAACAAAGAGTTTGTTGATATTCTCCACATCTCACAACTTGCTTAACCTTACTTGACCTTACAGGTAACCCTAAAATCACAGATGTGGGAATTGGATACCTTCTTTCTTTCAAGAAGCTGAATTGTTTGGACATTTCTGGGACAGGTCTCAAGGTAACAGAGCATCTAAGTTGACTGGACAAGTGTAACCAAATGTTCTTCCCCTCTGACTCTTCCCATTTCCCCTGTCTCTAGGACATTAATGCTGTTACCAAGCGGATCCAAACACAGCTGGGCCTGGTTCACTCCAAAGTGCCTCTGAAAGCATTTGATCATAGTAACTGCAGAACAGAGGGATGGGCAGAGCAGGTACAGGGTTTTAAGTCTCTTTTACTCTCTAGAAATTGTATTGAATCACTAGATAAGAAAGAATAACAGAGTTGTTTCCAGTGATATTTCTGTAAATTTTGTAAGAAAAAAATTTAACTCCTCCAAATGTAATTTCAGACAGTCTTGCAGTGGGAGCAGGCAGTTATGGAGGCCATCAAGCCACAAGACAACTTGAGATCCAGAACATCGGCTCTGCGCTTCTGTACGTAACTGCATAAAGACCAAAGTTTTTCTTTTCTACAAGGAATTTTTTCATACTTTTTAGTAAAGATAGCACCTTAGATGTGCAATTTCAGCCATCTAACTGCATTACATGTTGGAGTTTTTTCATTTGTTAGGCTGCTGGATAATTCTTGAAGTAGTAAACCATGGCAGCAGCTTAGGACAATGTGTAATAACTGAGTTTTCTCCTTTAAATTCTGAGTCCAAAATACAAATGTTATTTTTTCCTATGCACATTTCAGTGAAGCAGTCCGTATTCCAGGCTGACTTGGCCAAAACAATTTGCGACCCAAGTATGTATTTTACAGCATAATTCTGTTTTTCACAAAATCTAAACTTGATTTATTTTTTTTTTTTCCTCTGTAGATGGCAAGACACACAGAATAGATGAAGTAGTGAGATGCAAGCTGGTGGAGGCAGAAACAAAAACATGTGGAAACTTGCAGTTTTATAAGGAAAAAGTTCAAAATTGCCATTTACCTTTGAAAAAGGAGGTTGCAGGCAGCCATGAATTAAAGAACAATAAAAAAAGAGCTTTGGCTGAACAGGAGAGAGAAAGGACTTCCAAACAGAAGCACCTGTGCCTCACTGTGGAGGACTGGGACTTGTTAAATACCTACTGAGTCAGAAAGAAGCTGGTCTTTTGTTGTTCTCTTGCTGATGACAGAATTTAGACCTACTGAAAAGGAGTAACAAAAGAGACCAGGATTGTTAAAATCTGGTTGCTGTGATGTCCTGTGGGTTAACCTGCACTTGGGGGAGGGAGAGAGGCAAGGAGAAGGGTGATAATACTACTGTATATTTTCAATACATAATAATTTTTTTGAAATAAAGTTTTTTGTTGTCATCCTTAGCTAATTCTTCTAGATATTATTCACAAAACCAGCTGGTCCTATCCCTCCTGGTCTCTCACCTCCGGAGGGGCAGAAGGCTAACCACTGCAGCTGATCTGAAAGGAAGCAGCACTGTCCTTGTCAAGTGCCCTGGGACTTCAGTAGTGGTGGTGGAACACAAAGCTCAGCCTGGAAGCACCAGGCTGTGCTGACAGAGCTCTGAGAAAGGGAGGAAGCAAAGAGGATAAGCACAGGCCCCAGGGGAGGCAGGCAGAGAAACAGGAACCCCTACTGCAGAAATCCAAAGTAGAACAGAAGTTCCTCATCTCCCCCACCCTTTTAGCCCAAAAAATGAAAGCTGAAATTGGGTTACTGTAGAGAGTAGACTCTGCAGTTGGAATATATTCTCCCTTTCAAGAAAACTCCCTGCATTTGAGCACATTCCATGGTTTCAAAGCTGTGCACACATGCCTGCAATACACTAACTGTACTTCATCTAAAAACATTCAGGGAAGTGTCCACAGAAATGTATGTATTTGCTTTAAAAAAACCCACAGCCTGCATACTTGGACTCATTCTGTGTTGGTCTGTCTGCAGCCAGGAGAGCTGTAACACCACGGGTGTGTTTGTCAGAGGAACGCCCAGCTGGAATGCAATGAGAACTGGCTGAGGTGCCCACGAGTTGGGCACCACCACCATCATTGTTCTCTGAGGCCAATAAGGCTGAGAATTTACTACAGGTTTCCTCTACTGGTTCCTACTTAGAGGATATCTTCATTTTACACAGTTTGCCATAATTCAGCTTCAAGAAAAGCAACGCATCTGGAAATCATGGGGAGACCAAGAAAATGAACTTCACCTCAAAAATGCATAAACCCCTTTCTTGGCTCCTGTGTTGCTGAACGTTCCTCAAAAAAGGGCTACACACAAACAAAACAAGTGTACTTGGATTCAAGCCCTGTTTTTTTTTTTTTTCCCCAGAAACTGAAGGCTATTAATAGCTCCCACTGATGACTGCATCAGCCCTGCTGAGAGAAATAATGGCACAAATAGTGACTTGGCAAAACAGGCCTCAAGAGGGAGGAAGGCAACTGGTGTTCAACTACAATCCCCCTCCTGCCACTGGCTTCTGCTCCAACGGCCACCATGGATTTCTTCTGTTAGCCCTTCCGCCACTGTGGAGATGTGCTAATCTGACCATGGAGAAATGCACGTCTCCAAGAACCTTCTACTCTATTTCATGTGGGTGAAGCAGCTGGGAGCTGATCCCTTGAGCCAGAAAATAGATGATTGGACAGGAGCAGTCTGCCCAGGTCACAGGCTCGTTGGTAAAATAACACAGTACAGCTCTCCATTTCACAAGTGTTTTAGAGCACTGTGTTTCTTACCTTTTCTGTCTCTGGCATAATTATTCCTATTTTTAGGTTTCTTGCTGACCAGCAGACTTCCTCTTTTAAACGCCACTTGAGCTCTGCTGCAGAGGAGAAGCAGCCCTGCTGCACAGCCAGCACAAGCCTCCAACCTTACAAACTGCCTGCCCAGACCCTTTCCCCTTCACCCTCAGGAGCACCTTGGAACTTGGCAGAGATGAGCTGTGGCAATTATCAACAAAATAGACCAGTTGCCAGGTGGGTCAACCTAACCAGCACCCTCTTCCCAACCACCACAAACATTGGAGGCTCCAGAAAGTCATGGCTGTCCCCAGTGTCTTTGGTAGAGAGCAAAATTTTTATCCCAACCATATTGGCTGGGCCCAATACAGAGGGTTTCTCTTTTTTTTTATCAGCTTATAAGTTCAATCCTTACCAAGTACACTTGCTCCTCTTAATAAATGCTGCAAGACTTCCTCATTGATTGCCCCAGAACATACTTCAGGGAATGAGAGGAACAGCAACAACTACATGAAACCAGGTTTTACCAACCCCAACTCAGCCTTGTTGAAGCATTAGATGTCTGTGATTCTCCAAAAAAATGTGTATCTCTACTTCAAGCTTTGATTGAGGCATGAAGCTTGCAAGTAAAAAACGGTTACTTGGAAGCCTCCTAACCTCTCACTCAAGCTGCAGCAATGTTCTACAGGCATGGAGAAAGCCAACCAGCCATCCTGGCCAAGCACAGAGAAGAACAGGTCATCAAATGCAGCTTTAAGAGTTTCCTGTAATACTGGTTCCATTAAGCAGAGTTTTGCCATCTTGTTCCAGGTGAAGTGTGAGTCAGAACACAGAAAAGCTATTTTTAAAAGACCTTTCAGATCTACAGCTTCATCCCAGCTACAAATTTTAGAAGGAACATTAACTGATGGTACAAGCCATGGTGACATGCAGAGCTGAAGATCACACGACAGAGAGGAAATGATTGAACAGGGTTTTATTTTTAAAGATAGATGACTTGTGATGGTGGGGGGAAGAATATCTTATTTTGGGCCTGTAACATTAAATGCACACACTAGAAGCGTTGGTTTTTCTCAGAGATGTTTTAGACAGATGAGCTTTTCAAAGGAGATAAGGCTGCATCTTTCTTAAATTTCAGCAGCACGTTCACATCTATATCCTGAGGACTGCTTTGGAAGTTTGGCTTCCTGATCCTGCTCTGCTGGCAGAGGAATTAAATGAACAGCAAAGGGACCCTGGGTCACCCCACATCATCCTGGGAACAGCTGTGGCACTTGGGTTGCAATTTTTTTCTCCTCTTTGCCATCTTCAGTGCAAACTCTCCCCAACCTCATAGCTGTTCTAAGCCTGCTGAGCTGCTGCTCCACAACGGGACAGCCCTGAGAAGTACATTTTATATACAGACCAGTTCCCTGTTCTGCAGGGACAGCTACATGCTCACAGGGACATGGTGATTTGTCCCCACATAACAGCCACTTCAGGCTTCCTTGCCATTATGCTCTGTGTTGGCCTTCATGGTTTGAGAAGAGTGTGGAGGTGGCCTCTACAGCAGCTCCCTACCATGTACACATTCCCAAGAAAGCACAGCATTCCCAAGAAATTGTCCTGGCAGCACCAAGGCAAAGCCTCCAAAGCCACTGCTGAAGTGCTTTGAACACAAGCACAGCCTTCTCTTCCTGCCCATGAGGACCAGGAGCGTGAAGATTTGTTGGAGGGAAATGCCAACCCAAGGACTAGAAAGACTCACCTCACTCAGCTCCTGCTCTTTAGGGTAAGTCCAGAATGTACCTTGATCTGGCTGCCTGCAGAAGCACCAGCATGTCCATGCCAGAAAAGCCCCTCACCCAGGGCTGGTCAGACACAGCATCCATGGTCCCAGAAGCTGGTATCTCCAGCAGTTTGTACAAAACCCACCAAGCTATCAAGTTAATGCTCTGCCCTTGTAGAAAGGACTCACCTTCACACAACAGGAAACCCTGAGAATGTGTCCCACAGCCAGTGTCTGGCCTGCAGCATGGGCTGCCATAGGCTGGAAGTGCAGGACTTGGTCCCTGTCCAGTGTCACTGCTGCCAGTCAGAGCACTGCTGATGAGGACTTGCTTGGGTGAAGCTTCCCAAGTGGGTGGCAGAGCAAGAGGGCACCAAGGCTCAAAAGCGACCATGCAGGAACTCTGTGGTCTCCAGTGCTGCTGGGTGCCAAGACTTCATGGTAGGCAGATGTACTCATCAGCCCAGGTGGTGCAGTGCTGGACCCCATCCCGGCACAGCCTCCTGGGGATGCAGGAGCAGAACTCGTAGAGCACAGGAGTGCAGCTCCACCACTCCGGCCCGCAGGGGGGACAGGCGGCCACTGGGAGGGATGGAAAACAGGGAACAGAAATGCTTCTGCTGCACCAACCCCCATGTCTCTCCTTTCTTAGGTAGGTAGCTACCCTTGCGTCCCTGGAACCTACTGAAAAACCACTGATGCCAGGGTGCTGACCCTGAGTCCGTGAACCCAGTGAAGAGGACACTGGCTTGGTGCTACCTGTGGGAGGCAACATGACATTGCAATGACCCTCATGGCAGACATGCCATCCTGGGAGGAACAACTTAGATGTAATTAATATTTTTAACAAGCTACTCTAGAGAAAGCTGCTGATAGAGGCAGGTTTCTCCTGCGCTTCAAAACCACAGGGGTGACTTAGCAACAAACCCACTGCTCATGTTAGCAAGAGAAGGATCCTACGTGACTTTGAAGCTGCTGGGGCACACAAAGTACCCCTGGGTCAGAGACATACCTGTCTCCTGACCAAGGAACAAAGGATAGTTTGAGTGATCAATGCTGCCTACAGCTAAACATCCCAATGAATCTGCCCTGTCCTCAGCAAGCTGCCCAGGAGGAATGACGTTTTGGGCTACGAGCAGAGCATGAAGCCTTTCATCTCATGGTTGCCACCCCACCCAGCTTTGACACAGAGCCCTTAGCAGCTGATGGCAGTGACCCTGCATGGTTCATACAAAATAACATCCCTGTTATTTTGTGCTTCAGCAGTGGGTACCAGCCTCCCAGCCTTTCCACCATGTCTGTGGGGGAAAGTCCATCAGCAGAAAAAGACCTCTTGCCCAACAGCAGCCAGAAGAGAGACTTACAGCTGCCCATCTCATCAGAGCAGTCTCCGCAGTCGTTGATCCCATTACACCTCTGATCAGCATAGATCCAGTAGGCTGGATCACTGCAGTGGAAAACCAGGTATCCCGGGAAGCTGCGAGGCAGGTCACCTGCAAGGGTAGACACATGGGACACCAAAGGCTGCTGACATGAAGAATTGGTCAGTCAGTCCTTCCCCACGCTGCCTCAGGGCATGGATGACCGTGGCTGGAGAAGCTGTGGTTGGAGAGGGAAAAGGATGCTCGTGGATGAGCCAGAAGCAGTCTGGGTGTCTGAGGTTTCTGCTTTAATGAGGTTTTTTTTCCAGTATAATTGGACAGTAAATTAACCCTGTGTGCATGCAGCTTAACCCATGGAAGAAAACTGAATCAGGGTGTTGTTTTTTTTTTAAAAAAAAAAAGCTAGGAAAATCAGAGGAGCTTGGAGTCTGATTCCTGGCATTCCCACTGGGTTTTGGGCAGTGTCATCTCTCAGCATCTACCCTACAAAAGGTCCTCCAGGTTTATCTGCTCACGTACACAGCCAGAAGCACAGAGCAGGACCAGGGGGACACCAGCTGCTGTGTCTCACAGCAGGAAGAGCAGTATAAGGACAGTGACAACAAAAACCACTCACCACAGAGTTCCTCCTGCTCATCCTCTCCATTCCTGCAGTTGCTAGCTCTGTCACAGACCTGGCTGGCCGGGACACAGGATGCTCTGTCATCACACAAGAAGCCTGTCTGGTTATTGGAGGCTGCACAGAAGCGGTTCACTGAAGGGAAAGGCAGAAATACTTCATCTCCCAACATTTTCATGGTATGAGGAACAGATCAGGGGCAAGAAAGGAGGATTTCTAGAAGTCACTTGCTCTTCTAGAAATAACCAAGGGCCAGGATTAATCTCCAGTAGGTTCATGGTAGAGAATGAAGACTGTACCAGCAGTCTGAAGCATGACTGTGCCACCCAGAGGCACCACAGCCCTACGGAGGAGGATATGAGAGCCCAGGAATGGCTGGTGGTGACTTGGGCTGTGCAAGGATGGCACAGCCCCTCATCATTCCCCACGTCTCCTTCCTTCCTGGTCTGCACCAGGAAGCACCACTTCACACACAGTGATGGGCATGAATCCTCTTCTCATGCAGCATCCTTTCCTTACAAAAAACAGAACACAACAAACCAGTGACTCTCAGGATACCAACCTGGTGCACGTGGCAGGAGCCCCAGTGCCACTGCCAAGCTGGTGGCAGTGAGGACGAGCAGAGCTGTGGCCAAGATGCAGGCACATCTCCTGGTGCAGCTGGGCGGCCAGCACCGGGCTGTCAGGAGGCAAAAGACCCAGGTGAGGGGCTGGGGACAGGTCCTGCAGGGCGCAGGGGGTTGGGGTGCTTCAGAGGGAGGCTGGCTGGAGTTTGGGGGTTGATATTTGATATTTCCTTAAAACTCTGATGTTCAAGCCTCCCCTCATAGGGAATGTTGCAGGGTAGAAGAGCCTGTGCTGCTGGTATAGAGCACTGGGACCAAATGGCACAAACATCACATCTCCATGATAGCTCACCCAATGCACTCAGGTACAGAAGGGTGGTGAGGGCCAAGCCCCTGCTCAACCCTGTGGGACAGCAATGCCCTTTTCATGGCAGGAGCACCCAAAACACAGCAGGTTGGTGCAAAAGGTGCCCTCCCAGTGCCCATGGCAAAACTCCCTGAGAGGCAAAACTTCATTTCACAGTACTCTGGGTTTTCTGCACCCACCAAGACTTTAATGCTTCCACAGAATGAGCCTGAATTATCAGCTCAAAATGGTAAGAACTGGCTGAAAAGAATCCCTTTCCCTCCCTAAAGGCATCTCCAGGGTGCGAAGGGCAACAAGCTTCCAGAGACTCCCAATTTTCAGAAAATCACAGAATCACAGAATCCTAGGGGTTGGAAGGGACCTCGAAAGATCATCTAGTCCAAGCCCCCTGCCAGAGCAGGGTTACCTAGAGTACCCATACATTAATAAACCCAAACCCAGAAGCTAAAGGCCAAACCCTCAGCCACTGCAGCACAACAGCAGCACACATAGGAGCAACACTGCTGCCCTCCTCTCAGCAGCACCAGTGCTTTGTCTTCTAAACCAACATTGTATTTTCTTGCACTCCTCTGCATTGCCAGACCAACAGAAAAAAAATCATGTGATCATCTGGGAAACACATAACTGGTCACTTAAGGCAACCCTGTGTGTATAATTGGATTTTGGCGTTTCTGAACTTAAAGAGCTTTGGTTGAAAGGTTAGAATTTGCCTGAGCTGTGCTTCATGTTGACTTAGTTGTTGTGTTGTGTTGTACAAACCAATTGAAGGCAAAGAGATCCTGGCTGCAGTAACCACCCCCTCCTCCACGCTTGAGAGGGAATCAAACACAGCAAACATTTCAGCTTGAAAGAAAAGTGCTAAATTACAGCCTGTCTGTGCCTACCAGACACCACCTTTGACCACAAAGCACAACAGTTGTTGCAGGCAGACAGGAGCATCAACTAATGGCAGTGATGAAATGTTGTTGCAATCTGATCTGCAGGTTTGCTATTGATTCTGTTTGATCTCACTTTTGCCTTCTTAATATGGACAAAAATTGCTGCAGTTTGGCCATTAAAAATTTATAGAAAGCCTATAACAAGTTCACAACAAGCTTTTCTGTGACAGGCAAGAATTACATATCACCTACTATACCATAAAATTGCCAACTCTAGACCAACGAAGAACAGCTTCAGTTTATTCATTTTATAGTCTGGACATGTCACTACACAGAAGGGGAAAAAAACCCCAACACATCAGTCTCAAAAGACCATAAATACTGGTTGTATTTTACATAGTATCAATTTTATTTTATTCATTACCTCTTTCTTCAGAGCAGGACTTTGTTGAATCAAAAGTAGCTACATCACCATTTCTCTGGAAGGAAAGGAATAAAAGTGTTTACAGAAGCAGCAGGCAGTTAACTAACAAGAGATGCATTTCCAGTTCTCATATGATCTTATCCAGGAATATATAATGTATTTCTTTATTGTTAAACACAAGAAAAAAATCACCTCCTTGGAAACGTGGCCCAGATTTCATTCACAAAGCGATCAATCAGATCACCTTTTAATTCTTAATTACCCATTTGTAAAACAAACACTAATGCAAGTCCAGAACTTTATATCAGTACTTTTCTTTCGTATCGAATCAGGTTAAACAGAAACAATTTGAAATCTCACAGAAACCAGTGATAGAGGTGAGAGAAGCAACACTGCCAAGAATACATGTACTTGAAGAAACGGCTGCACCTGAGATTTTTCTGAAGAGAAGGACTGTACCTGGGGGTGAGTTTTGTTCATGCTTCTCAGAGCTCCAGCCCTCACAGCAGCTGAAAGGATTGCAGGGAGTTCTCTGCACCTTACCAGGAGCGATGTTACCAGGATACAAAGCTCAACAGAGGCAGGAGAGTGAGGAACGTGCTGAGGAACATGCTACTGCCTGCACACACAAGCAGGAGAGCCCAGGGAAGGCAGCACTGGGCCTGTGCCCCAGCTCTGGTTGGAAACTGGGTTTCTGCTTTGCTTCTCATTCCTCCTGCCTCCATCTTGGTTTCACTAAGAGTCATTAGGCAAATTATAAAGGCCAGTGACCCTGCTGCCACTCCTGACATCAGCTCAGTAGAGGAATGCTCACCTGCAGGTGATGCTGGCTGCATCTACCCTGCTGCAGCTCAGGGAGAATGCCCCTTCATGACAAAGGCATGAAGGAAGACAGTCTGATCACCAAAGTCTCCTTTCTCCCCACCTCCTTCCCAAGACAGAGCTGACACACTGATCTTGTAGCAGCATCAGCCCAGACTCCTGCAAGCTGATCAGATCTCAGCAGAGCTGTGTGGGACACAAACAGCTGGAATAGCTTCTCTGCTTGGGCAATGAGCACAGGCACAGCAGATCCTCCAGGGTCCTCACTCCTTCCTGCATACTTGAATTTCCAGGCCTGCATTAAGTCCCAGCAGCTCAGTCCACAGCCAACATGAACTCGAGAATAGATAGAAGCCCTCTAAGCTGGCTATAGGCACAGCACTCAGAGAGCAGAGTTTGCAGCTTCAAGAATAAGATGTCATGAGCAGGCAGCTTTGCCAGAGGGAGGAAAAGCACTGGCATAGAATGTTGGAAGAGCCTGTGCTCTTCTTGTTTGCAGGGGGGTCCATAAGACTCAAATGCCTCCGAATTGTTGCCACCTCGCACACCAGGAGTCATCCCAAGCAGTAGTAAAGATAGCTTACCAGGGCTTCCAAGGAGAAGCTGGCAGCTGTATCTCCTGTAAATTGCCCCCCCACACACACACACAGCTGCCTTGATTTGATTCAAAACACCAAATAATGCCTGACATGCAGGAACAGACATGGGCATCTGCCAACACTGCACTCACCTGCTCACAGATCAGCCAGAATTAAATACATCTCTTCCTTCAGTATGGCAACACCAATTTGTCCACAGCAGAAGCTTCTCACAGCAACACAGCACTTTTAAACCTGCTGCTAGAAAGCTCTCCTGGTCCAGAGGCAGGCTGGGGGTGAAAAAGGCCAAGTAGCAAACAGCCTGCAGGTCTGGGAACCTGCTGTATTACAGAAGAATGACAGACTAAGGGTTAAAACCTGTGTATCTTAAATTCAGGATCTGTTTCTCTTTAAAGAGGAAGTCCTGCTTTCTAATCAGACCTGATACAGAAAAGGCTTGTTAGGTGGCTGTGAGTTTGCCAAGAGTCCCATGTAAGAGCCAAGTCAAGCAGGGTTGCTGTGTACACCCCACAGAACAATCCACGATGGAAATGTTTAAGATGTGGAGTAAACCCACTCTTAAGAGGCAAATATCCACTAGACCTGACATGTAGCACCATCTATTTCCTACACCAAGATTATCAAGCTCAGCTGTAGCCAACCAGGCCGCTGGGTTTTAGAGCAGTTATTCCACATCAAAGACTGCTTATAGTTCAGAAAAAGGAGTTTATGAGCATGAGGTGACAAACACAAGCCCTTCTGAAGTAAAAAAAGAAAAAAAATATTTCTTTGAGCTTTGGTGAAGAAAAGAGGGAACACAGATCAAGATATCCAGTAAAACAGGAAACTATTGCTAATTCTAGCACCTAAAAAATCCCCAAGCTCCCCCCAAAATGTACCATGGCTATTTCTGGAAGCATGAATTGTGCACACTTGAGAGAGCTGCCTCATTTGTGTCAAGATGATTCCATTTAAAATCTGATCCAAGTTCAGCATGCCTGAAGAGAATATGAAATGCTTTCCTCCTGCAATTTCAGTAATTTCAGGCCCTTCATGTAAACAGTGGTCTTGAGCAGAGATCAAACTCAAATTGCAGCCTCTGAAAATGAAGATGTCAGGAAGTCAAATGTTTAACTACAAATGAGCAGGACAAGCCATTTTGCAAAGTCAGATGCCAAGATGGCTTAAATACTCCATTTTGATTAGAAATCTCGAGAAGCAGCTCAATTACTGCAGCCAAGCTAGTAGCTGAACTTATTGAGGGAAGATACTTTTGAGAAGAGCTACCAAGTGCAACACTTAAATTTTTCTGGCTCATTTGGGGAGCAGCAGTGCCAAGTGACAGATTGCCCCAGGCACAGTGTTCCCTGTGACCCAACAGCACATTACTGAATCCTGGCTTCACTGCACAGATCACTTCGCTGAAATGTCACCAAACACCCAACAAAAGACAAAATACACAAACCTTGTGTTTTGTCCCATAGGCAGATCCAATGCCAAGTGACAGCAGAAGTTGTTTAACTCGAATCCAGGAAGAGAAAGTTTTGTGACATCAATGTAAGAGGCTGAACATAACAGGCAAATAGCCGTGTTTTCATGACACACTAACACTCCCTCTGCAACTACATGTAATAGTAAAGCAAAACGTTTTAACACACTTGACAACATTTCCATGACAGTAATTCAGCTGGAAGAACTGGGGCTGCTAAAGCCCCTGCTGTAAAGGCAATCTCAAACAACATCATGCTAAGACAGGCAATAATCACTGAAGTAGAGCCCACGTTTACAAATCAATTTGAGCATCTGTTGCACAAATCGCACTTGACAGCACTGGAAGCAGAACCCCGACAGGGCAGAACACAGGGGCTTGCACTCCATGAGCAGGAACACACATCTCTTCTCAACCTCTGCTGCAGACAGAGGGATTTCCCAAGTGAACGGTGTGCTGAAAACATCACACTGCAGTCACACTTAAGGCCAGTGCAATACTGTCACCTACATGCAAAGGTACCAGTCAACAGCTGCTGGCACCCAAATTTCTGGGCTACCATGTTGTTGAAGAATTCATAGAATGAATCATAGAATGCTCAAGGTTGGAAAGAACCTTAAAGACCATCAGGTTCCAACCCCACTGCTATGAGCAGGGACACCTCAAACCAGACCAGGCTGCACAAGCCTCATCCAGTCTGGTCTTGAACACCTCCAGTGAGGGGCTTCCACAACCTCCCCAGGCAACCTATTCCAGCACCTTACTGCTCTCCTGGTGAAGAATTTATTTCTGATGTCTAACCTAAATCTCCCCTCTTTCAGCTTAAAACTGTTACTCCTTGTCCTACCACTGCCCTCTTCAGCATGGAGAGGAACCACTAGTTTAAGACTTCAAATTTCAATCTTGAACACCTCCAGTGAGGGGCTTCCACAACCTCCCCAGGCAACCTATTCCAGCACCTTACTGCTCTCCTGGTGAAGAATTTATTTCTGATGTCTAACCTAAATCTCCCCTCTTTCAGCTTAAAACTGTTACTCCTTGTCCTACCACTGCCCTCTTCAGCATGGAGAGGAACCACTAGTTTAAGACTTCAAATTTCAACTTCTGCACATCAATACAATCCTGCTTTAAACAAACTTCATGCTCTTAAACCTCATTGACAGTCCTAGGGTAGACTTTTCAGCAGCACTGCACAGGCCACTTCATGCACCTTCCTGCTTAATGGCCCCTGCAAGGTTCCAGCAGCCATAGCTGCACAACCATCAGCCTTGCAGCCCAATTAGGAAGGACTATTGAACGAGTTTTAACAGTGAGCCCCACCACTGTATCCTCCAGAACCTCTACAGGTCTCACAAGAATTCAAAGCCACTTCCACCCCTCTGCAATATGAAAAAATCATTAACAACAGCTACATTAATTACCAACTTTTCACAAACCTTACTCACACAGCAAGAAAAATCCCAGAGCAAAATAAAAATAGCAGCAAAATACCAAATGGAAAAGGGATAATTTACAGACAACCCACTCCTCATCCATTTACCACAACATGAGCCACCAAAGTTCCTCATAATCACACTTTAGTCCCTGTTTTGCCCAATTTTTTGTCCTTGTTTCAATCCCACCTGGGGTGCCATCAAATGTCATGGTTTGGGTCTAGAACAACAGCAAGGAACCAGCCCTGTGGTCACTCACTCAGCTCAGGTCAAACCCAACTAGAAGCTCATGGGTCAAAGGACAAGGAGGGTTCTTCACCAATTAAGGTCCTGGGCAAAACAGACTCAACTCGGGGGAAAAAATAGTAATTGAATGTCACACTAATCAAACACACACAGGACACAGACAACACAAAGAGCAGGGCTTGCATATGTTACCCCACCCCTCCCTTCTTCTCCAGGCCCAAATCACTTTGGTCCCCATTTCTCTCCCTCCTTCCCCCCAGTGGCACAGGGGGATGGGGTTTAGAGTCAGTTCACAGGCTGGTGGTTCCTGCTGCTCCTTCCTCCTCAGGGAGGATTCCTTACAGTCCTTCCCTGCTTCCCCACGGGGTCCCTCCCATGGGAGAAAGTCCTCCACAAACTTCTCTGGTCAAAAACTAAGCACAGGAAAAAGCTATACAGTCCATGTTTTTATACAGTCAATTTTATTTGTCTCTTCTCATTTCTCATGAATCAACTCGTTTCTGTAAATGTAAGTTACAAGACTAGAATAGTTGATCAAGAACAGAAAGCAGAATTTCTTCAGAAAACACAGGTGCTAACTTTACAAGCAATTTCAGACTTAAAGGCTGCAGTTTGACAAAAGAATTGATCGTGCTCTATTCTGTGTTTGAAGGGACAGGTCTGTAAATTTGAACAAAGTTTCCATCTCTCACAAACTGAGCTCTAGCCTACAGTACCTCACAAGTGCTTTTCCATCTTGGACTCTGCCACATTGTAGAAAAAAATATATTTCTATTTTTAGAGACAGGGTTGTTTGTGCATGGACATTAGCAGGTAGAAAAATTCAACAGATAATTTTATAATATATTCTCTTAAACTACAACAGAAAGTGCAACACTAAGAAGGCATCTCCTGCCTACTTAAAAGTTCTTA